ATGAAAGCCAAGGAGTGTGATAGAACACAATTACTTTCAAACACACGACGTGCGAAGGACGGAGAAACTATACCCTTTGTTCACACGTACAATCCGAGAAATAAAAACATCAATTCAATTATGAATTAAATAGCTTACTTAGAGAGGATGAACAAACGAAAACTACATACAAAAACTGTCGTTTTATCAGCAGTAAACGTCAGCCCAAAAACCTTAAGAGAATACTTTGTTCCTCCCAATTCGCTGACCATAATTATACAGTGTCAAAGTGTACGGACCCTCGCTGCGGCACATGTGACTACATTACAGAAGGGACGAGTTATAGTTTTAACGGGCGTGAATTTAAAGTTAATGCCAACATGTCATGTGATACGACAGATGTCATATACGCCATCATATGTCCTGGATGCAAAGAATATTATATTGGTGAAACTGGCAACAGTCTCCGTGCCCGTGTACGTGTGCATAAGCAACACATCAGTACACCTGAATATAGACAAATGCAGTTAAGTGCACACCTGGAAACTTGTGGAAAAAAACGATTTAACATTTTCCCTTTTTATAAACTCAGATGTGCCAGTGATATCCAGAGACGGGAAAAAGAAAAACATTTTATTTGTATTCTAAAGCCAAAACTTAATAGTCTCTTATAAACTACCTATGATTTTCCCGAACTTTTTCATCATCATTGCAGTATTTTATCTATGACGTCACAATATAGACATTAAACGTTCCGCTTAGTTTAACGTCATAATCATTGTTACTATGTTACCGTTGTATACATTTTTGTAATGTAAAGCTTCTGAAGATTTTTAATGAAAGCGCTAAAGCTTTACGGAGGATTCTTGTGTTTTCTTTTTATATTTGTTTAATATTGTAATCCGATTACTGAGACTTTATTTCAATTTTGGATATATATATATATATATATATATATATATATATATATATATATATATATATATATATATATATATATATATATATATATATATATATATATATATATATAAATATCAGTCATACCTCTTCTTTCACAGTAAGCAGTTATATTTATCTGTTATGTGATCGGCATGTTGACGAAGTTAAAAAGTGAAGTGTAAAACAGGTAACTTTTTTCATTCCATCCACCCGTCCATTTTCTGGTTATCAAGGTAACGACTGATGTCCCAATCAGTACAGATCTAGCAACAAATAACTGACCTTCAAGTTTATTTTGGATAATAGTGGAAAAAGGACTGCTTATAACTTTTCTAAATAACCCGGTGTTGTTTTATACTGAATGCATACAGAATAAAATTGCGAAGCTCTGGTAGAAGAGGATATTTGGAAGGGGGCAATCTGATTAAAATCAGATCTTTGTTACGCTCCGAAATTCTGATGGTCGCTGTACAGCGTAACGAAGATCTGATTTTATCAGATTGAGGAAGGGGGCATCGATGTTCACACGGTGGCTATCTTATTTGCAGGGTGTGCTTTGACCTCTTTATCAATTCATTGGACACAGATATTGACATTTGAGTAATGAAAATGATATAAATGTTATCAAAAGTTTGCAGGTTACATATACAACTAATGTTGGTTTGTCAAATTGTCACAAGAAAATAACAGTATAATTATACTAATTGATATGACTATTATTACACTGTACTATATATGTAAAAGTGTATTTTAAAAAAAAAATGTTTATAATGTGTATTATTATCATAATTATGTCCATTAGTACTTCCTATTAAAAAAAGCCCGAAGGAAGCAATTTCGAAAAGGAGGGGGGGGCACAATTAAGCTTTTGACTTCCAAGGGGGAAGAAGTCACCAAACGTTTAATTTGAAGGGGAAACTACCGTAAATTAACAAAGTTTTCTAATGTATATTATATACTGGAAAAAATTATAGAGGGGCCATAACTGGGTGCATGTAAATTAGCTTTGTTTCCTATATAGTACTTAGTATTAACTTACAGTCAAAATTATCGGGGCACACCCCTACCCCCCCCCCCCCTTCCACGGTTCCACAGTCTGTAAAAGAACTTTTTTTTAAAAGTAGTATTTTCAATGGCAGATGTACGACTCTTCTGTACAGAAGCCCATTAAAGACTTATCAAAAAATATTAATGAATTGCCATATTTGTTAAAACGTAAATTTGTTATAACGAATCAAATTCAAAACTGTTATATCGAATTCGTAGGTATTTTTCACATTCGATTACACGAATTTTATTTCAACTTTGTTATAACAAATTAAAGAATTTGTTTAAACGAATATAATTCGTTTAATATAACAAGTTTAAAAATTGGTTTAAACGAATTTAATTCGTTATGGCAACTTTTTGAATTCATTATAACGAATTCAAAAATTTTGTATTTACACAAATATAAATATAATATATCAAATTCTCAAAAAAATTTTGCAACGAATTAAATTCATTAACAAATTCAACGATACGTTATATCGAATTAATATCGTTTGATATGTCCTAAATAGGCTTCTGCGGTGGCAGAGGATAGTTTTTTTTAATGCCAAACATGTGCCGAGGGGGTACACATACACATGCGATCCATAAAAACATGTACATGGGTACAGTTTTCCAGGGGCTAATTAATTACACTTCATATGCCCATGGCTCACAAATTATGTCAACAAATTACATGTAATCTGCCTATTGGAGTGCAAATGTACCAAAAATGCACCTGGGGACTCCCCAAATTTTGGCTTGTTTTTTCAAGATTTGGGCCTCATTCACACCCACACAACCCACACCCAGGCCCGAGCGAGCAGGATAAAACACCCAGTAGTCTGTAAATCAATGCATGCCCTAATAAAAATTCACCAATTGATATGGGGCCATTCACCTTCCCTCCGAGATACACACCTTCTTCTAAGGCCTACTGCTTTTCAGCTGAATTTCCTCTGCAACTGACCACGTGTCTTAGTTTCGCATTTACAACTCTGTATATGATAAGCGTCATAGTGACACCTACATGTTGCACATCATTTTTTTCAGCAAGCACTCTGCTACACTGCAAATGTGTCCCATAATTATTCTAATCATTTTTCTACATAAAATATCACATCAAACAGGGGATATCTCAATTTTTTAAGAAATTTGACCGGGTCTTTAGTACGAAACTATCCCCTGCCACCTTTAACTTTCAAAGTTTGCTTTTCAATTAAAATAACTTTCCATATTTAGAAAGTGCTATCATTTCTGAGTAAAAATATGCTTAATATGTCTTTTTTCAATGAAAAATAAAAAAGTTAGAGGCAAATAAGTGACCCCACCAATTGTCGGTCAACCACCTTAACCCCATATTCTTTGTGTTACTGCAAAAATGACCAACTCCTACAATCCAAAAGAAACTATTTCTTATCAAAACAGTGTTTAATGGTAACTTTGATCAATTTCAAATGCAGATACTTATAAAAAAAACTCAATAAGAATTGCATGCCTTGATGAAATGTACTCACATGTAACACATACTCTCCTATTTTTGATGTTTTGGGAAATCCCATTTTACCTCTTAATTGCTTGAATTTATACATCTATAGCTTGTTTGCAAAAAGAAAACCTAATCTATTTTTCAGGATATTTATTGTGATATACAAAAACCCCTCTTGCATCAAAGGTTCAAGAAGAAGTGTCCTGGAAATTGCAGTTATCTACCCTATCCCTCCAACCATTACCTGATTCTATTGAAAATATACTGTGGAAATCTGATTTTCCTGACTGTCCTTTTTCTGAGTATATTTCATTCAATTTCAACATGTCTGAATGATCAAATACATGCATTTGATTCCCCTGAATATCTAAAGTGATCATCCTGTCCTTACTTGGCATTTGTGAGTAAATTTCAGGTGCTTAGTAGAATCCAATAATTACATGAAAATGTACATATTTTTGATATTTTGTTCATTAAATATGCAAAAAGACCATCTGTTTTGTTATAATTTAAAGAAAAATATATAATCTATATGAAAATAATGAAAAGTTAAAGTTCTATCACATTATAGAAGACAAATGAGGGGGAAAATGAAGGGGAGGGGGTATTTTTTTTATGTAATCATCAATAGCAAAATGGGTCTAATTTGAAAAAAAATTAAAGCGCAGCAAATCTTTGAATAAATGTGGTTCTGTGAACTGATATTTTTGCATACTGACTCATTCTTTTTTCAAAATAATGATATTTAGTGAAATACATGTAAAAAAGAGTAAATTTATGTAATTTCAGTGATATCGCAATAATTAAGCCCCTTTAATTTTAATTAATACTAAGTAATTGCATCAAAATTTGATAAAATATATGTGACAGTGCCCAAACTATTATTTTCAAGCAAATAAATTTTTCTCAGAAAAAAATTGCCTTACTCTGTTAAGATTTGTTATGCTGATGCTTCAAACTCTTTGAAAATGTGTTACTCGGAGAGGTTTACCCCCCTTGTGTTTAGGTCTCTCTACCTAAATGAATAAGAGTCAAATGAAAGAAATATGGTGAGTTTTGAAAATGACATACATCAATAAACTTATTTACAGAAGAATTAGACTAAATTACATATTTCTGAAAATTGGTGTTTTCTTAAAGGTGGCAGAGTATAGTTTTTTTTAATGCCAAACATGTGCCGAGGGGGTACACATACACATGCGATCCATAAAAACATGTACATGGGTACAGTTTTCCAGGGGCTAATTAATTACACTTCATATGCCCATGGCTCACAAATTATGTCAACAAATTACATGTAATCTGCCTATTGGAGTGCAAATGTACCAAAAATGCACCTGGGGACTCCCCAAATTTTGGCTTGTTTTTTCAAGATTTGGGCCTCATTCACACCCACACAACCCACACCCAGGCCCGAGCGAGCAGGATAAAACACCCAGTAGTCTGTAAATCAATGCATGCGGGTCTTTAGTACGAAACTATCCCCTGCCACCTGTGCTCAGAGAGGGTATAGGCCCTACAGGCGAGCTAAAAACAAATTTACGTTTGTTTTGGTTCGGGATCGAGAAACAACAAATGAACATGGCCATCGGCCGTGTGAGAAATTGGCTTGTAAACTTGGCAACAAAGGTAGGGTGTAATTGAATAATATCGCCGTCAATTAGTTTTCTTGCTAAGTACACATTATGAAACAGGATTCCGTACCTTTTTCTTTTATGCAATCTTTATAATTCGTTGGTCAGATCTTGTTAGAGGCAAATTACAGTATGACATTTTACTTTTCAAAATCTTATCTGTTTAGAGAGAAAATAAAGGTCATAATTATTTTATTCACAATTAAATGACTTTCTGCAATCAAGTCATACTAAACACTATTTGCCAATCCTTTGAGTTTATGCCATTGTCCTTGCCCGAATTTCCTCGCTGACATAACTCTGCTGACAGATAATTTCGTTGTATCATAGGATACTGAATACAGGGCTTTATTTGGCAGAAAACTAAACAACTTGTGCTCTGGGGATCTTTTGGTGGAGTTAAGTGTAGAAAATACTCTTTTAATGCATAACTAGAGTAAAGCTCGTTGCAAAGCAACGAGTAGGTCTTCCGACGGACGTCAAACGTAATGTACTTGGAGTTTTTTTTCCCAATAAGATTAAAAATTTAGGCAAATTTATGAAAAAATTACACCTAAATTTTTTTTCCGACAACTTCCGGTTTCGAGTTGAACTTTTCCGACCGATAGATTGTCACTTTCCATTGATATCGAAAGTCACAAAGGCCAGAAAAAACCCTTAAATTTCATTTACAAGCATTTCATACTATTTCTAATGTTTTTAGAGGAAAAAATGCTTCATTTTTTCGACTACTTCCGGTTTACACCAGAAGTACTTCCAGTGGATTGTTTTTCATGTTGATTGATCATATGAACGTAAGTTCTATTTGCCTTTATTCAAAACTGTTCAATTTTTTAAAAAAATCACTAAATTAAAGACGCACAACACACTGGGGAGATAACTCTTGTTTGTGATTTCAATTAAATGTTTAACTTGATGTCAAATTTGACTTTTATAATAAAGCGTCAAAATGACGACCGAATCGATCCCGATGTAATTATAGAAAATGGGATTAGGGGCTTGATGCATCTTCGCTAGCCAAGGGTTTCTGATACGCTACTCTCCTCATAAGCCCTTGGCATACGGTGTTAAAAAAAGTTGGGATTTTTTTCTCAAGTTGTGATTGGAGTTGATCGACATCATTCGACCAATCAGAAATTGTTTTTTGTAAATGACAATATTTGCGTTCGGGATATATCTTGACTCTTTAATATCGGGAATGAAAAATGCAAGTAAACAACGATCCGTAAGATAACATGCCATTCTATGAATAGCTATATGGTGTCATCCAATATCTTAAGCTACGTGCAAAATATGTGATTAAGAATCTATACTGAAGATGTAGATTTGCATTTTAACATGTTTAATAACAAATTAACATAACTTAATACCTTCTTGTTAATTATTCTTTAAAAACATTATGTTTTTAAATACGCTTTTTATTTCTGTCGATGACGCAATCTGTGCGAACCTGGTAAGAATCATGATCACGTGACGAAAACAATCCCGTCTTTTGTCAGCACCGTATGCCAAGGGTTTATGAGGAGAGTAGCATATCAGAAACCCTTGGCTAGCGAAGATGGGGCTTGATGTGGTTTCTATAGAAATACCAAATCATATCCTTGATTATTTGCGCTTTTGATTTAAAATCCGCCCTTCCTCCATAAAAAGGGAAGAAAAGAAAGATTATGTCTTAAATTTCTTTAAATTTAAATGAAACTCGTATCCGTGATCAATATTAGCACAGTATTCTTTATCTTTTTATGATACATTGCTTTCTTTTGTTGCAGTTGGCTATGTAACATTCACATTACCAGACCACTGGCTTATCTTCAAATTAAGAATTAGCCATATAAATACTGTTTTCCTCTTAAGAAAAAAAAATGTTTTACAACCCGTTTCCACAAGTTCACTGATCAAAGAGGAACAACTCTAAAAATGTGGGAGATTTTCCCCCTCCCCTAGTTGAGTTATTTCCTCCTGTTTGTCGAACAGTTATGAAGACACTATGAATTCTGATGAACTTAGGAACTGAACACTATAATATATACTAAGTAAGTACTGAAAATGTAACAGAATTGTTTACTGAAATGGCCTGAATTCACGAATATCTTATATGCGACAAACTGGCCCTATCGGACCATCTAGATATACCATTGTCAACAATTTCAGTGCACATTTCCTCGAATCAAAACAAAACGTTTTATACATGTATCACTGTACATGAATATTTTGACACATGAATAATTTAAACATAGATAGAGAATTTACAGTTTGATAAATTGAAGCTAATGTAGACGAATACGAACTTTCCATTTTATCAATAGAAGCAACAGAAGGATGCATACAAGGGGGGGGGGAGGAGGAGGTACTTTTAGACCCCTCTCTTGTTTGAAATAAATAAGAAACAATATATTCCATTTACCAGACTGTTTACATAATAGAAGAGTTGAATTTTCAACATTGTGCGTTCACTTTCACTGAAAAATAATATTAAATTTCAGTGTAAGTTGAATTCATACGCAGGTATAAAATTAAATGCATGTCAACCATGTGTATGGACTACATATTGGACACGTGGACATAAAATCCTTAGAAAATAAGTTTTACTTTTATTCTAGTTGATAGTTTAACTCTTATTCTAGTTGTCAGAATTTAAATCTGCATGAATGAATTAATTAATTGGTACTTCAGGGATTTAAAAGATTAAATATATATCTCGAGGGTAACCTATGTTTCATCAAGCTCTAATGACTGCGTCCAAAAAAAAGGGGGGGGGGTGCTTCATCAAAAATTGCCTATACATCTGCATTTCAATGATTATGAACTGAAAAGTTTAAGAACTCTGATATATAATGTAAATAATTTTTTTAAAGCAAAAGATATTTTCTAGCTTGGAATTTTTCATGTGTATTTGTAGATCTAACAATGTTTTCTCCCACGTTTGAAAGACGCTTTAGAAACGGGACTTAAGGAGAAAGGGGGGGGGGGATTTTTTGCTATAAATTCAGAACGGCTCATTAAAAAAAAAATAAAAAAAATTATCAAGATTACTTTTGTAATTAGTTACATGAAAAAAGTATTTTTTCCAAAATTAAAGGATAGGTTTTTTTCTTAAAAAAAATATTAAAATTCAGATTTTAACAACCTTTTTATTCAAGTTTTGCAAAAAAAAAAAAAAAAAAAAAAAAATCTTTTGAAATCAAGTGTTTGAAATAAAGAGTTTGAAATCAAGAAAGAAAGATTTGGAAACATCAAGAATACCTAGTTTGGATGTAAATTTATCTAAATAAATGTACAATACTGTTTAATTTTTTTTTCTTACAGCCATTTGCCCAGATATGTACAGAACAAGGGTTGCTGGCTAATCAGCATAATCAGTTAAATCAGATTAGAACAAAGATGGTAGACCATAAAATGGCTCGGGATAACAAAAGGAGAAAAATACTTCAGGAACATGGCCCTGAGAGATTCCGTGTCAACATGGTCCGAAAAAGCAAAGCAATACCAAGAGAAATAAAAGTATGTGTTTATGTTTATTGTTAAGCAATAAAAATGTGTCCACAGATGAACAACTTTCCATTTTCTAATTTGTCACACTATCATATTTCAAGAGGATGAAATTAAGTTAGATTTGAAAGTTTGATATTTCTGGTAATGAAATGCAAAATGTCAGAACAGATATAATTTATTCAGTTCTTCAATGAATGATTATCAGTGGCTCAACAGTTTCAAAATAATTGTGGCAGTACCTTACAAGTTACTATTAAATAATGATCCAAATCATCAATAATGGGGTAATTTTTGTTTAAAAATCAAATGAATTACTTTTAATTATGTGCATATGGTAATAAATATTCAAAAAGTAATTAAAAATATTAGAATTTATCTCTAATTGCAAGACTTGTTTGTTCCTTCCAAAAAATGTTTTCTTGTTGCATTTCAGGAGCTTGCTGATAAGGAGATTAGACAGTTTCCACTAAACAGTGCGTACACTAGAATCCATAATAGGTGTATACTGACTTCACGTCCTCGTGCTGTGCTGAAAAGATGGCATGTCAGTCGAATTATGTTTCGCCATCTTGCGGATTACAATAAACTCTCAGGATTTACAAGATCGTCATGGTGATATTTAACTCATAATGAGATTGTGTATTATTACTCAATTTGTTAAAAAAATACAATTATACATGCATTAATAAAATATCATTTTATCGAAATTAGTTCGTCGTTTTTTACTTTGATCTTTCTAAATCATTAAAATATTGATAATGTAGATTACACTATTCTTGATAGTTCATTCCAGCAAATTTATTTGAGGAGACAACATACATAAGGCAATTAGACACTATGGTAATTATAATGGTACGATAGTAATTAGACCTGCCTTTATACTTGTATCCATGTAACAAGACAGATTTTGGATTGCACTTGCACAACAGGTCAGTATATACGGAATTAGTTATTTTAGAGTTCATGTATCGATTAGTCAGAGCAACTGGAAGCCATGTACAATGTATTTGTATGAAATTAGTTCGAAATTCTGACTCTACTTACTTTACTATGGTATTTCAGTAAACAATTTTCTAATTATGGTCATAGTTTTAAATTTTCATTCCATATACACAAAGATGTTAAATTGCTGATATTACAACACTTATCTTCCTTTCTCTTGCAAGGTCATAATTTTGGCTAGGAAGTAAAAATGTGTGCACAAAATACTAGTCTCTACTGATATAAATGTACATAGGACTATCACTAACCTAAATCATATTTTATTCAGTGAATGGGATGAGACAGCAGGCTAAGCCTACTTAAGCCCTCTTCCATTGTATACCAATATCTCTGCTTGGAGTTAAATCCAGGACCTTTAGCATAGTTCTAGTGTATCACTGATTAAAAATACATATATTAGTAGCACATGGTTGATCAAGCACTTTAGTTAATATTGGAAGCCAATTATCTAATATTAGTACACTGTCCTCCTGTGAGAGAGATGTGCCCCTGGTTTTCTGGTCTGTATGGCTATGCTAAGAATAACTTGAACAATAAAATAGAAGGCAATAATTTAAACTGTAATAGGAAAGGAGAAAATGTATGGCTGAACTGGGAATCGAACCCGGGACCCCTGCATCACTAGTCAGGTGCTCTACTGACTGCACTACCCAGGACGATATCCATGGCCCAAACCATTACAAAACAATAAAAGGCTTTCTTCGTTAATTTGTATGGGAGTGAACCAAGTGGCTTTAAAAATGGCTACCCAAATGAACCAAAAACAGATTTGTAGAAAAGCAGTAGATTTTTTAATAAATTCTGATTCTGATAGACCTCTGACGGAAACGCCCGAGATGATGCGATTGCGGAATCAGGATTTTTAAACATCTTCATTGGCCAGTTTCGCTTATTTTGCACTCCGGGATTTTTGAAAAAAAAATGTGTTGATCGACATCCAAATAAAATGATAATTAAATAGAGTGCCAAATATATCATGGGCGAAAATTTGTTTTATAAAAAGTGGTTTTTACAAATAGATCTATATATGTAGATAACCCTAAATAGCTAAAAATTTATTGGTTTTGTCTATAGCAGATGTTAATTTAGTTCTTAGCTGACATTAACTTACATGTATAAATAAATATAAAAGTCATGTAATTGTAACAAAATATTCCGAAGCTATCATTCATATTTATAGGACTGATAGTTGATTAAATTTCCTCTCATCAGTAAACATATATCCCCCTCCCCCGGAAATAGATAGAATGCTTCCCTTCAGAGGCGAAGTTTTCAATCATTTTTTTTGGGGGGGGGGATGCGTCAAAACGTCGATCGTATAAAAAAAAATTGACTATATAAAAATAATTTCAATTTTTAATCAGTACCCCATCTCTCATGCCAAAGGCTAAGTAAGATTTTCTGCTCACAATTTGTTCTCTGACTTCGATGTTGGCTTTCTCGGTGTAAGCATAATCGACGTTGTCGCTGTAAACCTGGTACTTGTAATTTTCTTATTCTTATCTTTTCATATAATCACTGGGTCAGTATTAACCAAACGTAGTTGATCAAATGAATGACCACATTCTCTTCCAACAGAAGATAATTAAGAAATACAAGTAGTAAAAATTGGAAAGGTCATTTGAAAAAATTATTCTCTAGGAACCTGTGGGCCGGAATGAGAAAACATACTTATAATATCTCCCTGAAATAGTAAAGATTTATTTTTTTTTTCAAATCAGAATGGGTGTTCAAAATTTAACATAGGAATTTATATCCCCCGCAAACGAAGTGTCTGGGCCGGGGGGGGGGGGGGGAGGGGGATTAGGAATCATATTGTCCGTCTGTCTGTCCGCTTGTCTAGCTGCCCGTTTGTTTCTTCAAGTTTGCTCAGGCTATGACTTTTTAGATTAACTGGAAGCTCATACTTGGTACAAACATTGCCAATGATCCTAGGGTGTGTCATGGTCTTGATCCAAGGTCATTCCAGCAAATTCAAGGTCAGTGGAGCAAGAATAAATCTTTTGTCCGAGCCATTTATTTGTAATTGAGAATCACTGGAAGCTCATACTTGATACAGAGATTGCTTGTGACAAAAAAGGTTTGCTTCGACTTTGACAAAGAAAATTGTATTATTACAATCTAGGCTGTAATTTTTTATGTTCGCACTTGGTACAAAGATTGCTTATGGTCCGCCGGTTTAGATGACTTAAAATAAGGTTATTTCAGCAAATTCAGGGTCACTGGCAGAAAAAGTTGTAAAATGCCTGTCTGGGATATGAATTTCTAAGGGGAAATGACTAGAATCTCTTTCTTAAAACAGAGGTTGTTTGAGATTGAGGGTTTGTCTTGAAACCAACCCAAGGTTATTCCGTCAAGTTCAAGGATACTGACAGAAAAAATTAACTTCTATTTCATGCTATGATTTAGTAATAGAAAATCACTGGAAGCTCTTACTTGAAACAGAGATTGCTTATGAATGGAGACTGTGTCATGACCTTGATCAAAGGTCTTTCTGGCAAGTTCAAGGTCACTTGCAGAGAAATAAAAAAAAACATGTCCAGACATAATTTTATTATTGTTTTTTTCCTACCGATTTTGTGCACGCGAGTTCTCGGAAACGGGTTGTTTGATTTTCAGGAAACTTTCAGGTCTGGTAGAAAATAAAAAAAAAAAACTAGATATATTTTTTATTTCGATGATCTCACTTCCGGTCCGGAGATTTCTGCGATTAGGTGATTTTTAGAGGGTCACTTTGTCCGCTCGTTTTCTAAAAAACGCTGTAAATGGGAACTTGATATTTTCAGCAATGATAGAACAATGTTCATAAATATGTACTAGGTAGTTCATTTTTCCCGGAAGTGCGGCACTTTGACGCTTGGTATGCTCCGAAAATAGTCTTATTGAGAATATCAAAATTTTTAGCATTTTTTTCAAGAATATCTCTTTAATTGTAAATATTTTGCAACAAGATATTGAAAAAAAGTTGTGCAGAATGGCAAGCACTTTCATTTGATATCAACAATTAGGGGCTGACCCCTAAAATAAGCGATCTACAGGAGCTGAAAGTGTTCGCAGGGGTAATAAGGAAGCATACAAAATATTCTACCTTGACTTAATCGGTGCTACATTATGACGTCATAGTAGGCGAGATGACGTCAATTTTAGAATACAAGTTTTCGTAATATTCGTATTTAGAGATGTAATTTAACTCTAGAAAATGAATAGAAACGTGTAAACATTAACAAAAATAAAATATTTTTATTTCGTTATGCTGTATCTGTCATTTTGATTAAAATCTACCACCGATGACGTCATATGTGTACTTCAAGTAACTTGGGAATTGATCATGTCGTGTAAAGAGAATTTGGCTAAGACGGCATGTACAAAGATACGTAAAATGGAGTTTTAAAGCAAATATCCTGAATATTTTGTGAAATTCATATGGAGTTCAGTTACTAAAACAGGTATGCTAATTTATTTTCATCGATTGTATTCTCTTCGAAGACAGTCAGCTATATACGTATCCCGGTCGGCCTTTCCTCTGTCATTTGTGACAAAAATAATGCAGCAGAACAACAATAAGCTGTATATTTCAAAACATAAGATTTGTACAGATGGAAAGTTTGCCTCCTAAAATACTTGGAAAGTGCTGCTAGAATCCCGAGTTAAGCATGGTTTTACGAAAAATCTCGGTTTATATGTATAAAATTCAAAACATCGGGTAAGGTTTCGTGCGAATGTGTGGAATTATTATTTTACTGACGGGACAGTGGGATTCTAGCAGCACTTTTTAGGCAAAATAGATGTTTTCCAACTATATTATTTACTCAAAGAAATTATTACACTTCGGGGTATTGTTGTTCTGTTAGCTTTTTTACTAAGGAAAATTTCGCTATTAATAGAAGTCACGTGATGCCGTGGTGGTGGTGCACGTCTTTGCGTTAGACACTCTTTTATCTTTATGCAATAGATAATAATAGTTTACATTTATCAGCGGTTTTGGTAAATTATCAAACTTAATTTTCTTTAAAAAGTCTAAATTTCCAGAGAATTGACTTATATGCTTCCTTAACATACCCGCGTTTTCTCAATATCTCCAAAACTATTGAGAATTTGTGATACATCAAAGAAGCAAAATTGTTCAAAATGACAAGTAGAAGTGAATAAGATTGTCGAAAGTCGTCAAATAACGTCACTTCCGGCCAAAACGGAAGTAGTCAGAAATGCATATTTTTGCCGTTTTCGACATGTTATTAGTTAATTTATGTAAACAGAAGCGTCCAACCAAATTTATCATCCCTCAACATCACTTCCGGTCAAACCGGAAGTAGCCAAAAATAGCTTATTTTGCAGGTTTTGATGCAAAATTGTAATATTAAAGTCACTGGAGACGTCTTAACTCATTCCTTTCTCTTGTTGACGTCACTTCCGGTCAAAACATGACGGAAGACCTATTCGTTGCTTTGCAACGAGCTTTGCTCTAGTTATTCTTTTTTTTTTTCTTCTCCTTTCTAGACGCCAACTTTGAGGCCTCATATCTCGCTCATTTCTCAACGGATTTTGCTCAAATTTGCAGGGTTTATAGACGTTACAAAACTCTATCAGAATGCTGTCAAACATGTCAAAAATCCACTTCCGCTTTTGAGTTATCTCCCTTTAAATGAAAATTTAGGACTCTTCATTTCCGGATAAAGGCTCCGAGACTACAAAAGCTGGAGTAGAA